CCCCGCAAGTGGGCCTCCGCCCACGTCCGTCCTGCCGCGCGCCACCGGGTGCGCCGGGTGCCGCCCACGTCGCCCCTCGCGCCACCGCGCACGCCGCTGGATTGGCAGGCCTTCGCGTTGCGGCCGGGGGGGGGGGGGTCCGAGCGTCATCTCCCGCGCAGCGGCTGCCGCTGGGGCACCTGAACCCTCCGCCTCGCCAGCTCGATTGGTCTCCTGCGCGCCCCTCAGGGCTCGGGGCCCGCACCCCAGTCTGGCGGGGGGGGGCGCTTCAACGGCGCTATCGCCTGGCACCCCCGAGGCCGCCATTTCGAGAGGGGACCTCCCCAGCTCGAAGCCTCTCCCGCAAGATGAAGGGGAGAGGAGAGGAGAAAGAAATAAGAACGGGAGGGGGAGGGGAGGAGGAGGAGGAGGAGGAGGAGGGGGAGAGGGGAGGTAGCGAGACATCGAGAGAAGAAGGGGGATGGGCCCAGAGAAGCCTTCAACACGCTCGGGGCGAAAGGCGAGGGGACACAGCGACGAGACGCAGCAAGGAGAGAAAGGGTCAGCGTAAAAGACAGAAGATGATCGGAGAGAAATGAAGGGGAGGCGGCTCCGGAGCCTAATCGGGTGCTCGACTTTGTCGATGCGCAGCTTGGGGGCGGCGAACTGGAGGGCCATTTTTCGCCGTGCCGCGTCGGCGGCGGGAGCGAGGGGTCGGGATGCACCTGCCTTCCCAAGTCCACCTCAGACCCTCGCTCGTTCACACCTCCCCTCCCCTCCCCGCCACAACCCCCCTGATACGTTTCCTAAACCGACGCCAGCGATAGAGACTTCTGAGACCGCGGCGTTGCATTTGAGACTTCGAGGAGTGCGAGTGAGGGCGTCATGCGGCAACCTTGTGGGCGAAGCCGAGCGAGCTTGAGAAATGGGCATCGGCCGTCTCGAAAGTTCCGTTCCCTGGGGCTCCTTTTGGAACCCCCCTTCCCCCCTGGTATCCCATACAAGCGTGCCACGCACACACTGAGCACCCCATACAGTGCGAAGCCCTCGAGCGGCGGAGGAGGAGGGGGAGGAGGAGGAGGAGGAGGAGGAGGAGGAGGAGGAGGAGGAGGAGGAGGAGGAGGAGGAGGAGGAGGAGGAGGAGGAGAAGGAGGAAGGAGGAGGAGGAGGAGGCGGAGGAGGAGGAGGAGGAGGAGGAGGAGAGGATGAGGAGGAGGCGGAGAGGAGGAGGAGGAGGAGAGGAGGAGGAGGAGGGAGGAGGAGGGGCGGAGGAGGGGAGATGGAGGAGGCGGGGGAGGAGAGGAGGAGGAGGAGGATGAGGAGGAGGAGGAGGAGGAGGAGGAGGAGGAGAGGAGGAGGAGGAGGAGGAGGAGGGGAGGAGGAGGAGGAGGAGGAGAGGAGAGGAGGAGGAGGAGGAGGGAGGAGGAGGAGGAGGAGACAGGAGGAGAGAGGAGGAGGAGGAGGAGGAGGAGGAGGGAGGAGGAGAGGAGGAGGAGGAGGAGGAGGAGGAGGAGGAGGAGGAGGGAGAGGAGGAGGAGGAGGAGGAGGAGGAGGAGGAGGAGGAGTGAGGAGAGGAGGAGGAGGAGGAGGCGGGGGGGGAGGAGGAGGAGGAGGAGGAGGAGGAGGAGGGGGGGGGGGGAGGCGGAGGAGGAGAGGAGGAGGAGGAGGAGGAGGAGGAGGAGGAGGAGGAGGAGGAGGAGGAGGAGGAGGAGGAGGAGGAGGAGGAGGAGAAAGAGAAGGAGGAGGAGGTTGGAGCATGAAGAAGCAGAGGTGCGGATCGGACAGGGAGGAGAAGCAGCGGCGGCCGGTCGCGGCGGCGGCCGGTCGCGGCGGCCGGCGGCGGCGGTCGGGGGCAGCGGCGGCCAGCAGCAAGAGAAGCAAGAGCAGCCACAGCTTCGGCAGCAAGAGGAGCAAGCAGGAGCAAGCAGGAGCAAGCATGATCAGCGGGTCTGAAGTCGTCCTGGCTCAATTCAGGAACTGGTTGCGTTTCGCCCCAGCTGCAGCCCCTGGACCTCTCGACCTCGCGGTAGTGAAGCTCCAGCGCATCCATGTGGGCCCAGTCTGGAGAGGAGGGGGCGCGAGGGCGAGGAAGTCCAGCATGGCAGACATGGAGGGAGGGGAGGGAAGGGCGGGGAATTGAAAATGGGGTGAGGATGATATGGAATGGATAGAGGCGGGATGTTACATGATAGACAGGAGGAGGAAGGGTGGGAGCGAGGGATGGGAGACGGGAGGGGCAACGGGAGGAGAAGTGGGGAAAGAAAGGGAAGGGGGAGGGGGGAGGGGGAGGGGGAGGGGAGGGGGATGGGAGGAATTCGGCGGCAAACCCCGGGGGAAGTGAAAAAAAAAAAACGAACCTTCTCAAAGGCTCGGAAATCCCCTGGCCTTCTGAGAAGATTTCTAAGCCTTCCCTGAAGACACAGAAAACCTCTCAGAAGGCCCGAGGCCTTCTGAGAAGCCCCGCCGCCTTCTGAGGAGGCCTTCTCCTTCTCACTTCCCCCCCTCGCTCGCCGCCGAGGGTGAGATCGAGAGGGAGGGATGAGAATGAATGGCGAAGGAGAAGGGAAGGGGAAGCCGAGAGGAACACGGGGAGGGACGGGGAGGGTGGGGAGGGAGAGTGAGCGGGTGACTGTGCTGAAACAGCAGAAGCAGTGAGAATAGCAGACTTCGAGCACGGGGTGGACTGTTTGGACGTCCACCATGACAAGCAAGATCTCAGATTCACTTCCCCCGTCGCGCTCCACTCCAATGCCAGTGACAGCGCCAATAGATCTGGCACTAACGAGCAAAAACTTCCTTCCAGCTCTGGCAACATGGGTTCACTCGCAAGAAAAAACAGCAGGCTGCGCCGTGAGTTACGAATCAGCGACAGAGTGGCTATCAGAAAGGAGGCCATGCGTGGTCCGACACAGCGGCGGCACAGTAGCGGTGCAACATTGATTAAGGGTTACGCAAGGGCAGAGCTGGTCGGAACCAACAATCCACACGACCAGAGGTCTTATGCACCAGCAGTCTTCAGGCTTACTTCACCCGCCAGCTCGCCCTGTGGTCTCGCAGCTGTCCGGTGGGACGGTCGAAGGTGGGAACCTGGCCTGCTTCCCCTCCTCGGCACGTTTGACTGACACATTCGCTGGTCCAGCGGACCAGAGGCTTGCGAAAATCTCTGGTAAGAGCTCCAGAGTATTTCTAGTTCGAGCGAGCGGGGTAGCCCCTGGGGGTCCCTGGACGAAAGTGCCCCGGAGACCTTGGGCCAGAGATGCCAGCGGAGCTCCAAGTCAGCAGGGCACTCCAGAAACTGGCCCAAAAGGATGCCAAGAAGCCTCTTGAAGAGGCGTCTTGTCGACGGCCCCATCTGGCCCCAATAGTGCCCCAAGAAGCAATCGGATGTCTCCTCCCACTCCTCCTCCGCTCCTGCTCCTCCTCCTACTCCTCCCCCTCCTCCTCCTCCAACTCCTCCTCCTCCAACTCCTCCTTCTCCTCGTGCTCCTCCTCCACCTCCTCCTCCTCCTGCTCCTTCTTCTCCTCATGCCTCCTCCTCCTCCTCCTCCTCCTCCTCCTCCTCCTCCTCCTCCTCCTCCTCCTCCTCCTCCTCCTCCTCCTCCTCCTCCTTCTCCTCTCTCGCCACGACACACTGACTGATAGCAACACTGCTGCAACAGGGGCCAGCGGAATGAACGAGGCAAGTAAAATAATTGAGAGCTGGCGGATAGAGCGAAAACTGCATGTCTTCGGACGGGGGCAGTCTTGTTCACATTGACGCTCTGCATCGATGGGTATACTACTAAAAACCTGTCGCGCATGTCTCATATCTTTTCGCGCGCTGGTCCCAGACTGGCAAAACTCTGGCTCAGGCTGGGCGCGTGACAGGGCCACTTCCAACTACCTTTCATCAATTATATGATCAACTGCTTGGCATGGGTACATGGGCACCTAACGAATGAATGGTATCGCTTGAGGCTGGCATGCTTTCATTTGTCCATGTTCCACTCTTCTTTCTCCGAGTCGCACACGAAGCCGCCCCTCGGAACAACAAGGCACACGCGGGTCTGCGGGTAAATTTCTCGGGGAACCTGGAAGAACAGCGGATGCAGCGGCCGAAAGCGAAAGCCTACTTCGGACTCCAGCTCCGCGTTGGTGCGCCTGAGGCGACCGATCTCGGAGTGCAGGTTCTCGATGAGTCGTTGCTGCTCGCGGCTATCCTCGAGCTCAAGGATGGTGAATCAGGGAGGCTGGGAGGCAATCACTCAGGCATGCATGAAACCACGTGGCTGGATGGAGAGACTCAGGGCAAACGGACGCCTCTGGAATCCCCGAGGACGCCAGCGCCGACCTCCCTCCCTTCGGGGGCGACGCTGGGGGCGAATAGCCCAGGGGAGGGCAGCACGGGCATCCAGAGGCGCCGATGATCCATGCCCTCGGCGAGGCTCCCCGGCGAATCTGTGGAACGCCCGCCCCTGAGCTGTTCGCCCCTGTTTTGGAGGCCTGGACATGGGCACCAACACCAACACAAGGGGTTGCCTCCTCAGGCGGGAAGATGATCCTAGACTTCGGTGTCGGTGGTACTATCTCGGCCACCTTGGAAGCCAGAATCTTACCACCATCACCGAGATCGGGATTTTCTTCCCTCGGTGGCGGCATGCCGCCGATGTTGGTGCTGGTGTCAACCTCTACACCCTGCGAAATGCTTTAGAAATCATGGGTTAAGAAATTCATAGTCTCAGAACTTGAATAAGAACGAAAAAATTCCATTCAAATCTTAGGATTCACATTGAAACATTGAGGATCATCGAGACTCTGGCCGAAAATTTAAGTTTGCTTAAGCATCGCCTAAGGTGTAGGCCTGCGACTGCTGTCGCCGCCGACCTCCCTGGGGATCGGCCTTCGCTTGCGCGGACCTCCGCCGGCGGAGCCGCCCTCGTCGGACCTGCGCGGGCCTCCGCGGGCCCTCCCCCGGGCCTCCGTCCTGGGCGGGCGGCCAAGCTCTCGGCTGCTCGACGCGGCGGCCCTCTCTGGAGCGACGGGAGCTTACTCCAGATTTCGTAAGAAAAGGGAGGGGGTCTGGACCCTCCAAGACAAGCCATTTCAGACCTCCCCCGTGGGAGAATCCTCCAAAACATCGTCCCCAGACTCCCCAGGCCCTCCAAGATAGCCTGGAAGAGACCCCCCCCCGAAATGAGACCCCCCTCCCTTTATTACGAAATCTGGAGTACGCACTCGTGGAAGGTTCGAGCAGAAGCCCCAGAGGCAAGGCGAGCAGGCCGCTCGGCACCGCAGAGCCCGAGTGCGACGAGCAGCGCGACCGACTGCGCCACGCATGGTGCTGCTCGCCTCTGAGGACAGATCTGCGCAGCGCGCAATGGTCCGAGCAGATGTGGTCGAAAGATCGCGCCGCATCGCCGATGCACCGGCGATGCATCGGCGATGCATCTGCGATGCATCGGCGACGTCGGTGAAGTATCGGTGACGTCGGTGAGGCTCGGGATCCGCATCGATCCGCCAGGCCGATGCATCGGCGATGCGGCGCGATCCTCCGACCCCATCTACTCGGACCCCATTTGGGACGCCTGGAGCGGTGCGACAACCCAGCGGAAACTGGCCACAGATGCGCACTACAACGTTGTAATGCCCACAGTTGCAAGCCGACGCTCTCTCGGTCACCCCGAGGTGTCAAGACCTCAGGAACGAATAACCACCCTGGCCGAACCCGAGTCTCGGAAAAAGAACGCTCGAACTTGATGGCACCTCCGTTCCCCCGCTTGGACTTCGCATGCTCTAGCTCACTGTGCACCGTGGGGCCAGGGACGGTTGGTGGCGCCTCCCCCCCAGGTCCTTCGGGGGATCTCAGGGTTCCACACCTGCGTGTGGCGATTGGTCGCGCCCCCCGCCCTGGTCCACAGGGTGTCCCCCTGGGGCGTTCCCATGTTGCTGTGCTCTGCTCCGCATTACACTGCAAAACCTGTGATTGGGTTGTAGCGCTTTGGACTGCATCGCATTGCGCGACCTTGCACCTGCATCGAACTGCAGTCTGTTGCGTTGGTTGGCATTGAGCTGCCTTGCATCGATGTACAATGCAATGACAGGAAGATCAAAGTGAAGCGCAGCAGAGTAAGTAAAGCAAACTAATCGAATGACCACACACACAATACTGCAGCGAAATGCACGGCAAAGCGAGACATCACAAGACATGACAGCTAACAAAGCAATACAATGCTGCTTCGCTTCGAAAGGCTTGTCTGGGAGCTCCCTGGGGGTCCTCGGGGGGGTCACGGGGTTCATAGCGCAGCATAGCACTGCATAACAAAGGATTGCACGGCGTGGCATTGCTCAGCAGAGCATAGCACAGCATTCGCATAGAATCAGCATGTGGCAAAGAAGAGTAAAGCGTAAACACGGAGCATTCGCATCGTAGAGCACTGGAGAGCATAGCACAGCATGGTAAGACAAATGCTAATGAAGGTCGCTCCAGGATCATTAACTTATGGCCTGGTCAGGGTATGCTTCATTGCTTCCAGCGCTCCAATCGCTGAAGCCGCCAGACAACAAGGGCAGCATGCTGCATCGTGGAACGAGGCTGGTACAGATGGCAGCCAAAGGAACCGAAGAGATCGATCGACAATGAATCCTTCAGACCACCCTTCGCACAATCAGAACGACTCACACTGATAACTATGTGTTCGCCGACATGTTCAAATTGTTGGCATAAACGCTGCAGCAAGTTCAGAGCCCTCTGATCCCATCATACATATTCCCTGCATACTTCATGAAACTAATTGGCTGCCACCACGACCTTTCTCCATGCTCATGCCGCCATCACCCCTCGACCGCAGCGCCAACTCTCCGACGTTTCGTCAGTGCACTTCGATTGTCATCAGTCAGTCGCCAAGTAAACTGTCCTGACTCTGCTGCTCTATCTGGCTCCGCAAGTCCTCTGACGCAGCGGGTCATATCAGGGTTGCATTATCCTCCTCATCGCTATATTTCCCTCTTCTTCCCCATCCTGCCCCACCTGCTAGTCCTCCTCCTCCTCCTGCTCATCCTCCTCCAGCTCGCCCCCATTCCCCTCCTGCCCACGCAACGCACAGGCGTACATTCGCGCTGGCTTCTGATGTTGGACTCAAATATAAAACTCATTACTGTTGTCTCTCTCTCTATCTATATATATATATATATATATATATATATCACTCTCTCTATGTGTGTGCCTCTCTCTCTCTCTGTCTCTCTCTCTCTCTCTCTCTCTCGCTCGCTCGCTCGCTTGTCATCTCTCTCCCTCTCCCTCTCCCTCTCTCTCTCTCTCTCTCTCTCCTAGACTATCCTCGGACAATCTTGCAACCCCCTTCTGTTCTGAACCATTTGGGCCCCTGAGGCCATCTTGGAGCCACGCGTTGGCAACACATGGGAGCTCCAGAAAAAAAGGAAAACAAGTTGGGACCCTTCAGGTCTTTGACTGATTTGGTCCTCTTGGAAGTCCTGTGCGGGAGCGGCTATCCCCACTGGCGTGGCCTCCGCCTGGATGGGGAAATACACTGCTCCCTTCGAATCTCGAGGGGCCTATTCCCATCTCTGGTGGGTGGGGATGGTGGGGATCGGGACAGGGCCGGAAAATGGGGGTAGGGCTCGGCGAGACGATACGGACTCGCGGCTGGCACTACGTCGCGAATCGCGACGAGGAGGCGGGAGCAGGAGCAGCAGCAGCAGCGACAGGGAGGGCGAGGGCCTGGGCCCCGCCGGTCCTCGATGACCTGAGCCATGGCCGCACTGGTGGGCTTGGCGTCGGCGCTGGCCGCCGCCGCGCCCCTGACCAGCTTCTTGCCGTGGAGACGGCTTCTCGGCGTCACCTCCCCTTCCCCCGGCCCTTTCGCCCCTCCCTCCCTCCCTTTCTCCCAGGGGGCCACACGCGAACCCTACACCCCTACCCCCCACGACTTCTGAGGGGGAGGGTGGGGCTCACTTCGCTCGGGAGCTCCCCAGCGAAGTGAACCCCACCCTCCCCCTCAGAAATCATGGGGGGTAGGGGTAGGGTTCGCATGTGGCCCCCTCTCTCCGCGGACGAGCGTCGGTCCTGACGGCGACTGTGCGAGTAGAGAGGGGATCTACGCCATGGTAAGGGATGGGAGGGAGGGGTAGGATGTCAGATACGACGCGAGCGCACCTATCTTGCCTTTCGCTCCTCCCTCCCTCCCTCTCTATATGTGTGTATATACATATATACATACATACATGCATACATACAGACAGACAGACAGGCAGACAGACAGACAGGCAGACAGACAGACAGACATACAGACATACAGACATACAGACATACAGACGTACAGACATACAGACATACAGACATACAGACGTACAGACATACAGACATACAGGCATACAGACATACAGACATACAGACATACAGACATACAGACATACAGACATACAGACATACATACATACATGCATACATACATACATGCATGCATGCATGCATGCATGCATGCATACATACATACATACATACATACATACATACATGCATACATACATACATACATACATACATACATACATACATACGCACATATACATACATACATACCTACCTACATACATACATACATACATGCATACATACATACATACATGCATGCATACATACATACATACATACATGCATGCATGCATGCATACATACATACATACATACATACATATGTATCTGAAAGAGCGCGCCCGCAGCGCCAGGAATACGGAAAGGAGGGGCCCAGCTTCAAGCTGCCTCCCCCCCCATCCCTTCCAAAAGGGGGGGGGCTTCCGAAGCTACCCCCCGCCCCTCTCCCTTTTGCAAAGGTTTCTAAGCTAGGGGGGCGCTGGCCAAAGGGGTGGGGGGGGGGCTTCGAAGCTATCCCCCCCTCCCTCCCTTTTCCGGAGCAGAAGGTGAGCCCAGGCTTCCCTTTCAAAGGGGGGGGGGCTTCGGAAGCTACCCCCCCTTCATTTTTGGCCTGGACACACGGGGGGGCGGCTTCAAGCTACCCCCCCTCCCCCTTCCCATGCAAAGGGGGTGGGGGGCTTCCGAAGCTACCTCCCCCCCCTCCCTTCCGGGCCTCTGGCAAAATTGCGGAATCCCTGACGACAGGTGCGCACCGCAGCGCTAGAGAAGGCATTGGAGAATAACGTCGACCCCTGGTTCGTTTGCTTGTTTTCTTGTTCTCTCGGCCCCTGATTCGTAGTCTCGTTTTCTCGGGCCCTGATTCCTTTTACCGTTTTCTCATTTTCTCGGCCCCTGGTTCGTTTTCTTGTTTTCTCGTGTTTTCGGCTCCTGGGTCGCGGTCTCGTTTCATCTGACCCTGGTTCATCTTCTCGTTTTCTCGTTTTCTGGGCGCCTGGGTCGTGGTCCAGTTTTCTCGGACCCTGCTTCGTTTTCTCCCTTTCTCGTTTTCTCGGCTCCTGGGTCGTGGTTTTGTTTTCTCGGACGCTGGTTAGTATTATCGTCTTCTCGTTGTCTCGCCCCCCGGGTGGTCTCGTTTTCTCTTACCCTGCTTCGTTGTCTCGTTTCCTCGTTTTCTCGGCTCCTGGGTTCGCTTTCTCGAACCAAGCGTTTTCTCGTTATCTCGGCCCCTGGGTCGTGGGTCATTCTCGCGTTTTCTCATTTCCTCGGCCCCTGGGTCGTGGTCTCGTTTTCTCGGGGCCTGCTTCGTTTTCTCGTTTTTGTTGTCTAGGCCCCTGGGACGTGGTTTCGTTTTCTCTGTTCCAGTTCGTTGCTTCGTTTTCTTGTTTTCTCGGCCCCTGGTTCGTAGTCTCGTTTGCTCGGACCCTGATTCCTTTTATCGTTTTCTCGTTTTCTCGGCCCCTGGGTCGTGGTCGTGTTTTCTCGGGCCCTGGTTCGTTTTCGTTTCTGTGCCCTTGGGTCGTGGTCTCGTTCGCTCTCCTACTAATCCTCCGCCCTTTTTTCGCATTGGCATCGCACAGAGTCTCGCAGGCCGCTCCCAGCCCCCCCAACAGCAAGGGGCCTGGATCATGGGCGCAGCGGCGCCGCAGCCAAACTCAGCACCAGGGCGTGGGAGGGCGGGACAAGCGGCCCAACCCTCGAGCCTCCACGAAGCGGCGGCCCTGCACGCATGCGCGGTCAAGCGAGGAGGGGGCGGGAGTCTAACATCGCTCCACCTTCGTGAATCCGAGTTGGCTCTCCTCCTAATCCTCCTCCTTTTTCCTCTGTAGCATCGCACAGGGTCTCGCAGGCCGCTCCCAGCCCCAATGCCAATGTTGGGAACAACGGCAGGGGAGGGGCCCAGAGACGAGGCACGGGGCAGGGAAGGCCCAGGGCAGGGGAGGAGCCCCACTGCCAGTGTTGGAAACAACGGCAGGAGGGAGTCTAACATCGCTTCACCTTCGTGAATCAGGCACCGGGGGCGGGGAACCCGGGAAACCCGAGGAGCTTCCAAGCAACGGGCAAAGTTACCCTCCGAGGTACCAAGTTCAAACAAGTAAGAACCCCTTAGGCAGGCTCAGACGGGGAAAAGGATGTTCCCCGACGTTGTCGCAAAGCCACGAGTTTGCTCGGACTTTGGTTCGTTTTCTCGTTGTCCCGCGTCCTCGGCCCCTGGGTCGTGGCCTCGTTCTCTCGGACCCTGGCTCGTGGTTTCGTTTTCTCGTGTTCTCGGTGTTTTTGTGTTGTTTTTTCGGGCCCTGGTTCGTGATCTCGTTTTCTTATTTTCTCGGCCCCCGGGGTCGTAGTGTCATTTTCCCTCGGACCCTTGTCAGTTGTCTCGTTTTCTCATGTTCTCGGCCCCTGGGTTTTTGTTTCGGTTTCTCTGACCCTGGTTCGTTGTCTTGTTCTCTCGCTTTCTCGGCCCCTGGGTCGTGGTCTCGTTTTCTCGGACCCTGGCTCGTTGTCTCGTGTTCTTGTTTTCTCGGCCCCTGGGTCGTGGTCTCGTTTTCTCGGGCCCTGGTTTGTTTTATCGTTTTCGCGTTTTCTCTGCCCCTTGGTCGCGGTCTCGTTGTCTCGGACCCCGTTTCGGTTTCTCGTTTTCTCGTTTTCTTGGCTCCTGGGTCGTGGTCTCGTTTTCTCGGGCCCTGGTTCGTTTCTCGTTTTCTCTGCCCCTGGGTCCTGGTCTTGTTTTCTCTGACCCTGGTTCGTTGTTTCGTTTCCTCTGCCCTTGGGTCGTGGTCTCGTTTTCTCGGACCCTGGTTCGTGTTCTCATTTCTTGTTTTCTCGGCGCCTGGGTCGTGGTCCAGTTTTCTCGGACCCTGGTTAGTTTTCTTGTTTCCTCGGCCCCTGGGTTGTGGTTTCGTTTTCTCGGACGCTGGTTTGTTTTCTCTTTTCCTCGTTTTCTCGGCCCCTGGTTCGTAGTCTCGTTCTCTCGGGCCCCGCTTCCTTTTATATGTTTCTCATTTTCTCGGCCCCTGGGTCGTGGTCTCGCCTTCTAGGACCGATATTCGCGTGTTCTCGGCCTGGGTCGTGGTCTCGTTTGCTCGGACCTCGGTTAGTTTTACCGTTTTATCGTGTTCTCGGCCCCTGGGTCGCTATCTCGTTTTCTCGGACCCTGGTTCATTGTCTCGTTTTCTCGTTTTCTCGGCTTCTGGGTTGTTGTTTCGTTTTCTCGGGCCCTGGTTCGTTTTCTCGTTTTCTCGTTTTCTCGGCCCTTGGGTTCTGTTCTCGCTTTCTCGTGCCCTGGTTCTTGTTCTCGTTGTCTCGTTTTCTCGGCCCCTGGGTCGTGGTTTCGTTTTCTCGGGCACTGGTTTGTTTTCTCGTTGTCTCGTTTTGTCGGCCCTTGGGTCGTGGTCTCGTTTTATCGGACCCTTGTTCGTTTTCGCGTTTTCTCTGCCCCTGGGTCGTGGTTTCGTTTTCTCGGACCCTGGCTCGTTTTCTCTGACCCTGGTACGTTTTCTCGTTTTCTCGACCCCTGGGCCGTGGTCTCGTTTTCTCGGACCCCGTTTCGTTTTCTCGTTTTCTCAGCCCCTGGGTCGTGGTCTCGTTTTCTCTGACCCTGGGTCGTCGTCGTCGTCGGTCGTCGGTCGCGCGTCGTCCGTCGTCCGTCGCCGTCCTTGCATGACCTCGTCCTCGTCGTGACGACCACGACGAGGTCATGCGACAGCCATGCCAACGCCGACTTCAATTCCGAGATGGCGAAAGCAGGAAACCCTTCGAGACTCAGACGTGACGTTTGTGAAAGCAAACGCTGTACCTCTACCCGCAGACCCTCCCATGCCGACAGTAAGAGCATGTCTGCGGTCTCCTCTCCCGTGCCCTCCAGACCTCGATCAGGGGGAGAGGACGCCCAAAAAGAATTCGATGCTCCATCCATGGCGACTCTTGCCGAACTGAGGGTGACACGGAAATTCGGACAAAACGGCTACGGCGAGAGCGTCCCTGGCGACCCCAAGACCCGGACAGGGGCATCGGCGTAGCATCGGCATGAGGAGTCAGCAGCGGATCGGAGGCCTCTGCCTCAAAGGGGCGGCGGGCGGACAACTCGTGCACCCCCCCCCCGCCAGAATTCTGACGCCAAACTTCCGGAGAAAATCTCATGCCAGGGCAGCCA